CGAGAGATTTCCCACTGTGTTTACCTTGTTTTGAGCTGAGGGCTCCCTTAACTGTTAAATTTTTGAGAATTTCTTTAATTGTATTACCGTAAATTCTACTTATACCTTTTACTGTTTAATTTATTATATTTACTATGGTAGGGCCTTGACCTGACCTCGTCACTCCTCGATCGAGGTTAGGCTTGGCACTTACTGGGTACCATTGTGGTGTACTCATGCCCTTCCCTGCACATGTTTTTGTGTGCAGATCCAGGTGCGAGCTATCAGCCTCGAGGTTAGTACGTGCTGCTGATTCTAGGAGACTTCAAGGTACCTCTGCTTGCGTCCGCAGATCTTCGGAGTCCCCTTCTACTCCCTCGTCTAGAGATTTTTTGTTATTATCTTCAGACTTTTATATAGAGCTACATAGATTATAGCAGCTTGTGACTTAGCGATATTCCGGGTCTTGGGAAATTATTTTGTATATGCCGAGTGGTACTACTCTTGGCTATTTATAATATGTTGTTTATCTTTAAAATATTGCGTTTCTTTATATTTTTCGCAATATTAGGCTTACCTAGTCGTAAAGACTAGGTGCCATCACGACACCTTACGGAGGGATAATTTGGGGTCGTGACACCTACCTTGATCCAAAAAGCTTTCATTACATCCCGAAAATGCCCTACGTGATTTCAAGTTGAGTGAGCTTGCATTAGTGGTGATTTACATGAGGGGAAAGCATATGGTACTTAAAGCCATACTTGTGACATTCTTTTGAGATAGATGAGAAAACTTTTCACTATCCTTGAATTGAGTGTTGCATTCTAAAGTGAGATTTACTAACGGAGAGTAAAGGAGGAGGAGTTTGGGATCCACAATGACCTACATGAAAGAGCGAGCTTCCTTAATAAATAAAGTCAACTCTTGATGCTCTAGTGTCACATTAGAACTATGGTACTCAAAAAGTCAAATCATTGCATTGTTGATAATTCATTCGTGTTGTGGGTAATTGTTGGTTCCAATTGATGTGTGATTGATTTACCTTAGGCCAGCTGAAATAGCTCTTTTTTCTAGTGGAGGTGGGAATTATGTTAATTGCTTGAGGACAAGCAAAAGATTAAGTTTGGGGGAGTTGATAAGTAGGGATTTTGACTGCTTATTTGCACTCTTTTACTTGAGTTTTAGCTCAAAATTGCTTAAAGGTATTCCCAAAATCTAACGAAATATGCTTGCAGGATTGTTAGAATATGAGCTAAAGAAATAAAAATCAACTCAAGAAGGAGTAATATTAGAGAAGGACAAAAACAAGGCTAAAAGGGCACTGTGCGGACCGCATAATATTGAGTGCGGCCGCAGATAATGAAGAAAACCTCTAACAAGAATGACATGTAAAGTGTGGACCCCACAATTCTGGTGCGGCCGCAGAAGACAAAGATCAGAGAGATGGGATTTCAAGTTCAAGAAGAAATGCGGACCGCACCATTTTTATGCGTCCGCATAATTAAGAGCGCAGCCGCACTCATTTTTATGCGGTCCGCAAAAGTCTCACACATCCAGAGCCTAAGATCAAGGAGTGCAGACCGAACTATAATTGTGCAGTCGCAGAAGCAAGAGTGCGACCACACTCACAAATGTGCGGTCCGCAGTAGTTGAAGAAGTGCAGCCATAATCCAGAATTGTGCGGCCGCAGAACTGGAACCTGTTATGCCAAGTCTCGTTGTGCGGACCGCACACATAATTATGCGGCCGCACAACCTCCGTAGGGGCATTTTTGTCAGATATTTTTAGCTTAGTATAAATAGAACTTTTTGTCATTTTTAGGGTAAGTTTTGTTTTGGGAGAGCACCTGAGCCGTTTTTCTTTACTGTTTTGAGTAATATTGTACTAGATTAGCTTCTAAACATTAGATTTTCTTTCCCTAATCAATTATTATGCATTCTATCTTAATTTCTTCTTGTATTTCTTCATTTTTCATGAGTAGCTAAATTTCTAGCTAGGGTTGTGGCCCAACCCTAGTGTGGGTACTTAATGGGTGTTTGATTTAGGACTTGTTTGTGATTGGGTTAGTGATATTTAGCCTAGTTCTTGCTTGAATTCAAGAATTAATGGTTGCAAATATTGATTCAAGCCTAATTGACTTAGTCTCTACTAGAGAAAGAGAGACTAAGTCTAGAAAAACTTGGCTAACAAGAAATTGGGGTGAACTCAAGAAATTGATAGCCCCAATTAAAGGGTTGAATCTAGAGATAGTAAGACCCGACTTGAGCAGTTACCACTTGTTTTGTGCAATACCCATTTGGACTTGAGAAAGCCAAATTGGGCAAAACCACTCAAACTACCGAGAGGTATAGAATGGGTAATTATGTGTGATTGCTATATTACAACCCCGACCAATCAGGCTTGTCCTAGAGTTTTCAACCCATTAGGTAACCACCTACGTGGAAGTCACGACCCTAGATCTTTTATCATTTGAAAAACAACCAAAACCAAAAATATTGTCTCCTAGTTTTATAATTGCAATCAACAGTTTAAAGTAGAAGTAGAAACAACAAACAAGAATGTGAAAGTGTAAACTAAGGCATATTGTACAATTACACTAAATATATACCTAATCCCAATTCTAACTCCCTGAGGATTCGACCCCGACTTGCGTTGGGTTTTATTATTGCTTCGACTGTCTTACTACCTATATTTGTGGTGTGAGTTTGGGCGACATCACGGCCGCAACTGCATTTGTGTGGTCCGTAGAAGAGCCTTGTGCGGCCGCACTCAGAAATGTGTGGACCGCAGAAAGAGAGAGATGCGGCCGCCGTTCAGAATTGTGTGGCCGCAAAAGTCCAATCCTGCCAAGCTAAAGAAAAGTGCAGAACGTACATGGAATTGTGCTGCCGCAGAACCTCCGAAATGGCAATTTTTTCCGAAAATTTTTGGGTAATTTTTGGGAACTTTTAACATCAGCATACGTTTACTTTGCTTTTTTTTAGTAGTTTTAGCTATTTTGAGCTTTTTGAATATTAGTTTTATCATTTTAGTCATTAATATTGTTTTAATTATCACTTCCTCATCTTTATCTTCTAATTTAAGCATGAGTAGCTAGATTTTCACTAGGGTTGTAACTCAACCCTAGTGTGTGAACTTGATGGTTGTTTGACTTATTGCTTGTTTATGGTTGGGTGTTGATTATCTAGATTTGTTCTTGCTTTTAATTGAAGATTTAATGGTTGAAAATATTATTTCATGCCTAATTGACTGGTTCTCTACTTGAGAAAGAGATACTTAGTCTAGGAAAACTTGGCTAGTATGGAATTAGGTCAATTGAGAGATTGATAAACCCAATTAAAGGGTGGAATCTAGAGATAGTAAAACCCGACTTGAGCTTATTATCAACTGCTTTGTTTAATACCCATTTGGACTTGAGAAAGTCAAATTGGGTAAAATCACTCTCTGACCGAGAGGTATTGAGTGGGTATTTGAGTGTTGATGGCTATAATACACCCCGACCAATAAAACAAGCTTTAAGGCTTACAAACCATTAAGCGAACACCTAGGTGAAGGTCATAGCCCTATGCCTTTTATATCATTTGAAAAACAACCAAAAATAATTTCCTAGTTTAAATTCTTAGTTTGTAATCTTAGTTTAAAATTTTAAAATTAGACCTAGAAACGACCAAATTTTGTGGAAGTGCAATTTGAGATAATTCAAGTTCACACACTATAATATATATCCCTAAGACCCATTCATAGCTCCCTGTGGAAAATCGACTCGGACTCCTTGTAGGGTATTACTATTGCATCGACCGTTTTCATATCCTCAAATAGAGGAGTGAAATTGGACGAGATCAAAGCCCGTCGTCAGTTCACAATTAATGCATGTACAGACTAATCAAGTACTTAAAATATTTTTGGGGCAAAAATTAGGAGAAAATATATGGACAGGAATTAAACTTAGACAATTATAGAAAACATTAAGCACAGTCATACGGGAATTGTACAAATACCAATCTTGTTACGAAGGAAACAAAATCTTTCTTCAAGCATAGGTTTTGTAAAATTATTTGCTAACTGATTTTCAGTATTTACAAATTCTAACACAATATCACCTTTATCAACATGATCACGTATAAAATGATGCTTAATCTCAATTTGTTTAGCCCTAGAATGATGCACATAATTTTTTGATAGATAGATAGCACTAGTATTATCACACATAATAGGAACACAGTAAAGATGTAAATCATAATCTAATAGTTGATGCATAATCCATAAGACTTGTGTGCAGCAGTTGCCTACTACCAAATATTCCGCTTCAGTAGTGGATAGGGCTACACAACTTTGTTTCTTGCTGTTTCAGGATATAAGAGATTTTCCAAGTAATTGGCATGTTCCACTTGTGCTTTTCCTGTCAATTTTATCTCCTGTAAAATATGCGTATGAAAAATCTTTGAGATCAAAGATATCTAAACTTTCGTACCATAATCCATACTCGACTGTCCCTATCAAATATCTAATAATACGTTTAATAGCAGTCAAGTGGGACTCTTTAGAAGATGACTGATATCTTGCACATTTGCAAACGCTGAACATAATATCTGGTCGACCAGCTGTAAGATAGAGTAGGGAGCCAATCATACCTCGATACATTGTTTCATCAACACTCTTACCATCTTTATCTTCATCCAAGGTAGTTGATGGACATACAGGTGTTCCTATGGCCTTTGCGTTGGACATGCCAAATATTTTGATGAGTTATTTTGTGTATTTTGTTTGACTAATGAAGATCCCTTTCTGTACTTGCTTGATTTGAAGCCCAAGGAAGAAAGTTAGTTCCCCCATCATACTGATTTCAAATTCTCCTTTCATGATGTTTGAAAAGTCCTTGCACAAAACAGGGTTAGTACTACCAAAAATAATATCATCTACGTAGATTTGTACAATTAAATTACCGAGAGATGATCGTTTGATAAAAGAGTAGTATCAATATTACGTCTCTCAAACCCGTGTTTGACTAAAAATGAGCTCAGCCTTTCATAACAAGCTCTTGGAGCTTGCTTTAGACAGTATAGTGCTTTGGACAATTTGTAGACATAATTTGGAAATGATTCATTTATAAATCCTAGAGGTTGCTTAACAAATACTTCCTCAGAGATGAACCCATTTAAGAAATCACTTTTCACATCTATCTGAAATAGTGTAAAACTTTTGTGAGCAGCATAGGCTAATAGAATGCGAATTTATTCTAACCTGGCAACAGGGGCGAAGGCCTCATCGTAATCAATTTTCTCTTGTTGTGAATAACCTTGTGGGACCAGTCTAGCTTTATTTCGCACAACATGTCCAGATTCATTCAACTTATTTCTGAACATCCATTTTGTACCAACAATGGATGCATTTGGTGGTTTAGGAATGAGTTCCCATACCTTATTTTTCTCAAATTAATCATGCTCTTCCTTCATTGCGGTTATCCAGCTTTTGTCCCCAAGTACCTCATCCACCTTTTTGGTTCGAACTGGGATATGAGAGCAACGTTCAATGTCTACTTTAGTGATCTTCTAATTTTCATTCCTTCCTGAGGGTCTCTAATGATGTACTTATGTGGATATCCAGGCATACTTTTCCATTTATTTGGAACAATTGATACTGGCTCCTTTTCAACAGAATTTGTTTGATCAGTTGTAGAAGATCCCTGATTTTCTGCAGGACTGTTAGTCGACTGATCTTGCTGATCAGTCACTTCATCAAGAGTGTTCTCACCTGTATTGATAGACTTTGGAACTATGAAAATTTTCTCATCTTTAGGAAGTTGTTCATTCCTTAAGCGAGGGTTAGTATCCACAAAAATAACATGTATAGATTCTTCAATAGACAAAGTACGCTTATTAAAAACCCTATATGCTTTACTAGAGAGAGAGTATCCAAGAAAAATACCTTCATCGCTTTTTGGATCAAATTTATCAAGATTGTCTTTTTCATTATTGTGTATGAAGCATTTGCAGCCAAAAGGATGAAAATAACTGATGTTGGGTCTTTTTCCTCTCCATAGTTCATATGGAGTCTTCTTGAGAATAGGTCGAATTAGGCATCTGTTGAGGATGTGACATGTTGTGCTTACAACTTCTGCCCAGAAGTGGTGTGGAAGAGAATTTTTCACAATCATGGTTCTTGCCATATCTTGCAAGGTTCTATTTTTATGTTCTACCACTCCATTTTGTGGTAGTGATCTTGGAGATGAAAAATTGTGAGAGATCTATTGATCATTGTAGAAGTTCTCAAATGCTTTGCTTTCAAATTCTCATCTATGATCACTTCTTATGGAGGAAATGTAGTAACCTTTTCCCGTTGCACCTTCTTGCAAAAGACTTCAAAATTCATTAATGCCTCATCTTTATGACTTTGAAAGATAACCCAGGTGAATCGAGAAAAATCATCTACTATAACAAAAGCATATTTTCTACCACCTATGCTAGCAGTTCTAGTTGGACCAAAAAGGTCCATATGCATGAGTCAAAGAGGCTTTGTAGTAGAAACAATATTTTTAACTTTAAAAGAGGATCTGGTTTGTTTTCCTAGTTGACATGCATCACAAATCTGATCTTTTGAAAAATCTAGTTTTGGAAGACCAATGACAAGATCATTTTTGGAAAGTTTATGAATAGTATGCATGCTGGCATGACCAAGTTTTCTATGCCACAACCAAGGATCATCAATCATAGAAGCTAGGCAGATTTGATTGCCAAGATTAGCTAAGTTACTGATGGTATAGACATTCATGTCCCTATTTTCAGAGAGAATAACTTTACCTGATTCATCTTCAATGAACTAGTCATGTTTTTTGAAACGAACCTCAAAGTCATTATCACATAGTTGAATGATACTGAGAAGATTGTAACTAAGTTCATCAACCAGGTACACTTCGTCTACATCACATGTTGAGCTGAGGGGAACTCTTCCAACTCCAATTATATTTCCTTTTGATTTTTCTCCAAAGGTGATTATTACTGCATCTAGTTTGGTGACCATTTTGAATAGTTGTTTGTCACCAATCATATGTCTGGAACACGTGCTATCAAGGTACCATTTTCCTTTTTGATTCTTCTTGCGGTGTTCTTAACTTGTTCCTTCGTCTGCCATGAGACCAAGTTCACCTGAGTCCTCATTGCTATCTTCTTTCATGGCCATGAAACACATCTTGGCAATTTCTTCGTGATCAAATTCTTCTTCATCACTACAAGCTCCAAAGGACTTCTTCTTATGAAAGTTACTGCTTAGTTTCTTTTTCAGTTCAGGGCATTCGGCTTGAATGTGTCCATGTTTTCCACACTCGTAGCATCTTCCATCATTTTTATCATTATCATTGTTCATCTTCCTTTTTTTGAATTTGATTTACTTTTTCTGCTATTTCTGTTTTTCCTCATCATGCTTGTTACAACTTTGGAGAGCATAGCTATGTTTTCATCTTGTTCTCTTTCTTCATTTTCTGATTCAGCCACAGTTGCTTTGAATGCAACTGTCTTCTTATTTTCTTGTTGAACTTGCATGTCTAAGTGTGTTTTCTCAAATGCAATTAGATCACCTCTAAGTTAATCATAAGACATTTTGGCAAGAACCTGACATTCCAGTGCAATGACTTTGGGTTGCTAGATTGTGGGAAGACTTCTCAGAATTTTTCTGACTTGTTCCCCACTTTTGATTGGTCTACCAAATGATTTTAAGTCTCCAATGATTTTGCTGAATCAAGAAAACATTTTCTTCACGAATTCTCCATCCTTCATTTTAAACAGTTCATAGTATCAAACTAGGAGATTTATCCTTGTTTCTTTTACTTTGTTGGTTCCTTCCTATGTGACTTCTAACTTATCCCATATTTCCTTTGCAGTTTCACAACTTGATATTTTTCATATTCTTCCCCGCTAATAGCATTGTACAGCAAATTTTTTGCTTTGGCATTTACTTGAATAACGACTGATTGTTCTTCAGTATAATCATCTAAATCAAGAGGACCATATGATATTATAATTTGACCGTTTGCATCCTTCTTTGGCGGAATTGGAAGATTAACCTTTTTGATCACACGCCAAACCTTAATGTCATATGACATAGTGTAGGTCTCCATGTGCACTTTCCAGTGAGAGAAGTGCTGGCCATTGAAGTATGGGGGTCGTACTTGAGATGTTCCTTCTTGAAATAGTACTCCAACGACTGTATTTGATGCCATGATATTTTCCTCACTTGCTTTAAGCAATATTCGTGAGTCCTGCTCTGATACCAATTGAAAGTACAAGAAGGAGGTGAATTGTAATCGATTTAAAAATCTTAGTTGACTAAATATGAGTTTAGTCGACTAGACCTTGCGTAGTGATTGATTTAAATAGAGATAAACTAAAGGAACATGAAGGTAAAGAAGACACAACAGTTTTTATACTGGTTCAGTACCGGTGTGGTACCTACGTCCAGTTCCCTTGGGTCACAATGGTTCTCTTAGATCTTTGATGAATGTTTACAGCAGTGATGGTTTTAGTACGTTCACCACCAACGATATACAACAACAATGATTCTTTTCAATGTTGACACAACTCTTGTTTTGTGTTCTAACTCTTCCTATCTTTTGTGACACTTGTAGACTCAAGAATACAGTATTTGTACTAAAAATTAGAAAGGCTTAGAAACAAATGATGTAGTTGCATGTTTTTGGATATTCTTCTGCTTCTTCCTTTATAGCTTGATGAGTTTTCTGTTTCCTTATCTTCTGAGATTATATGGCAGCAATTTTAGGAGTCCTTTCCTTGTGAGGCATATACATCTAAGAGAAAGACCAAAGGGTAGCCTCATGAATCTAGCTTGAAATGGTAGCTAGATTCATTCTTAATCTTGAAGAATTGCTTCCTCCATTCCTCCTTGATTTGAGCTTCTGCAGATTCTTCTGGATTTGATCTCTATCCTTGATTGGCTCTCTTCCCATTCTTAAGCGCTTGGGAATCTTTGACAAGGTTGACTGAGTGACTTTCCTTCTTTGTTCTTTGATAGATTGATTCATTTTTCATGTAAAGCAAAGTTCAAAATACATAGCCGTTGAATAGGATCTGCTTTCCTTTTATCAACATCGTTGCTTACCAAATCTGCACACAAAGAGATGTCATTAGTCAAGGCTTCTTTTAGATTATTGAACATTATTAAAATTATAAACTTAACACCAAGATCTAGGATTTTTGAAAGCAACACTCAAGGTAATTTCTTTGCTCTTTACTATTAAACTTAGAAACTTCATACCGTATATCAATACTTGGAAGGTAGGAATCATGAAATTCATTAGTTCAAACAAACATGAAGCCATTAGTAGCATGGATTAACGATTGTCATTACTGAATTGTAGATTTTTGAGGAGCCAAGTATACGAGTTCTCTGAAAGGAGGTTTAACTGTTCGATTAGATGTGAATCAAGGTTTCTTTCCTAACTCAAGGGTTAGATTAGAATGCACATATGAAATTGTTTGTGTAACGCACATGCGGAGCTTTGATTGCACGTGCGAGCTGTGTTGTGCAGAAGCGGCCAAGAGTGGAGCTGGGCAGTGCTCGCAGGTGCGAAAAGATTGACAGCACCTGCGTAGTCGCAGGTGTGAAGAATTGAGTGCAGAAGCAGAAATGGAGATGGGGGCTGGGTCCGCAAAAGCGGTCGTGTGTCTCGCAGAAGCGAGTCCGCTAGTGTGATGTTATGGTCCGCAGGAGTGGAGGGA